CTTACACATATAGCACACACACACAGAACACCCTCCCACACACACACAGCACCCCTCACATACAACACTCACACGCACCCCCCACCTCAATGCAGTATGTGTGTATTCAGCAGTCTGTGTGTGTGTGTGTGTGTGTGTGTACTCAGCGGTCTGTGTACTCAGCAGTCTGTGTGTACTCAGCAGTCTGTGTGTACTCAGCAGTCTGTGTGTGTGTATTCAGCAGTCTGTGTGTGTGTGTATTCAGCAGTGTGTGTGTGTACTCAGCAGTCTGTGTGTGTGTGTGTGTGTATTCAGCAGTCTGTGTGTGTGTGTGTACTCAGCAGTCTGTGTGTGTGTGTGTGTACTCAGCAGTCTGTCTGTGTGTGTGTACTCAGCAGTCTGTCTGTGTGTATTCATCAGTCTCTGTATTCAGCAGTCTTGTGTGTGTGTATTCAGCAGACTGTGTATATGTATTCAGCAGTCTGTCTATGTATGTATTGCATTTGTTGGAGATACTAATAAATATAAGCTTAATTTTATCTATTTATATCATTATTTAAAATTTGTATCATTGAACTCTGTGTTCTTTTAAAACAAAAGTTATTAGTTCGGACAACAGTACGAGTTGTTTTTTCTAAACTTAAACCTCAGTATTTGGGTTTAATTGCCGTGTTGGCACTTTAAGGAGAAAAATGTTGGCATGTATTGCGGTTTGGGCACTCGGGCTCAAAAAGGTTCGCCATCACTGCTGTAGGTTATACATTACTGAGTAAATATTCACCCCCCCGTCACTGTAGGTTATACATTACTGAGTAAATATTCACCCCTGTCACTGTAGGTTATACATTACTGAGTGCTTGATGTGGTTATGGTGTGAGCGGACTCCCCCTCCCCCGTTACCGGGATGACAGCGCCCGGTCCTGCTGGAAGCGACACCCACACACCGCTCGTATCGCAGCGGGTCGGAACTGAGCGCCCAGACCGGCCGGTACCGCAGCACTCCGGTAGCGGCTCAGCACCGAGAGGCAACGCCGCGCAGCACACGCCGCCATGGTGCTGCGGAGGTCGTACGGTAGATGGCAGGCGCCTTATAGTGACGAGACGCGCTTTACGCGCTCTCCTTAGAGCTTGTGTGCGCTGACCTTCTTCCCAGGATGCTCTGCGCGCCCCCTATGGTTCCGACCTTCTTCCCAGGATGCTCTGCGCGTCCCAGGGCTCTGACCTTCTAACCCAGAATTCTGTGCGCGCTGTCCTGTTGCGGAAGTAGCCATGGCCGGGGAATACCTGGCAGGGCAGCCGCTGCTTACAGCGCTAAAGAAAGAGAAACCCGGACTGAAAGACGAGTCCAGGGCACTAGCCGAGAAAGCGCTGACCCATGGCCCCGGTGCTATAGTGCCATTCAGTGTAGTGCGGGAACTGCACCAAATCCTGAGGGAGAAAGGTCAGAGAACCAGGAATCCCATTAACCTTGGAACTGGAGGGCACAGGGGGCTCTGGGTCTAGGGGGTACTGGAGGGCACAGGGGGCTCTGGGTCTAGGGGGTACTGGAGGGCACAGGGGGCTCTGGGTCTAGGGGGTACTGAGGACAGGGCCTGGGTCCAGGGGTACCCGGAGGGGACAGGGGCTCCACGGGTCTGGGGGTACTTGAGGGACAGGGGGCCCTGGGTTCAGGGGGGGTCAAGTGGAGGGCCAGGGGCTCTGGGTCCAGGGGCACCTGAGGGACAGGCCTGGGTCTAGGGGGTCATGGAGGGACAGGGGGCTCTGGGGTCTAGGCAACTGGAGGGACAGGGGCCCTGGGTCCAGGGGGGGTCATGGAGGGGACAGGGGCTCCAGGTCTAGCGTGGGTACCTGGAGGGGAAGGGGGCTCCTGATCCAGGGGGGTACTGGAGGGAAAGGGCCTCAGACTCCAGGGGGGGCACTGGAGGGCCCTGGGTCCAGGGGGCACTGGAAGGAAGGGCCTGGGTCCAGGGGTACCTGGAGGGGCCTCTGGGTCTGGGGTACTGGAAGGGAAGGGGGCTCTGGGTCTAGGGGGATACTTGAGGGGAAGGGTGCTTTGGGTCTCTGGGGTACTGGAGAGTAAGGGGGCTCTGGGTCTAGGGGATGAGCTGGAGGTTAGGGGGGAACTGGAGGGGGCTCTTGGGGTAGGGGGAACTGGTGAGGACAGTGCGTTCTGGGGGGAGAGGGGGCTGTGGGGGTAGGAGGGGACTGAGGGTACGGGAAACTGGTGAGGACAGGAGGCTCTGGGGGTAGGGGGAACTGGTGAGGACAGGGGACTCTGGGGGGAGAGGGGGCTCTGTGGGGTAGGAGAGAACTACAGAGGACAAGGGGGTTCTGGGGTAGGGGGGAACTGGAGTGGGCGAGGTGGGTTCTGTTAGATCTAATATCTGGGCTGGTAACATTCTCCAGTTCAGCAATACAGATTGTGAATCAGGCTAAGGTTTACAAATTCATCTTAAATTGCTTTACTGGTACAGTTATTAATAAATATATCTTCTATTATTGGTATTTATATAGCGTTAACCTATTCCTCAGCATTTGACAATATTAGCAAAGGAGGAAATGCAACAATATTTGAGACAGTTACAACAGGGCTTGACAAATTTGCTTAGGATCTAGGAACAAGCTAAAAAAGTTAGGAGCCTTTTTCAATGTCAAACATACAATTCTTAAAGGCACACTAGTCACCAGATACACTACAGCTTAATGTAGTTGTTCTGAAGTCTATATCTTATTCCTGCACGATTTTCAATGTAAATACTGACTTTTCAGATAAAAGGCAGTATTTACATTGCTGCCTGGTAACACTTCTAGTGACAGTCACTCAGACGGTCTCTAAAGGTGCTTCTTGGATGTTCATGCGCCCCATCGGAATGCATTGATTCAATGCATCTCTATGAGGAGAAGTTAATTGGCACAGCATGGCATTTTGATGCGCTTGCGCAATAGTCGCCCAATGTTTTTCTATAGGGAAGCATTAGATTGACTGTGATCGTAAAGATTGATGATCTCAGCCATAGAGGTGGGGCCAGCCGCGTGTTTTTTTTTGTTTTGTTTTTTTGTTTCCATGTGCTTGGAGGGGGTCAGGTCACCTAAACATACACACTGCCTTGATACACCTTCACTGGCAAAGACACATGCTGACTTGATACACACTCACTGATTTGAGATACACACACACACACACTCACAGATTTGACACACACACTGATACTGCAACACTCACAAATTATTACTTTTTTAAATTTAAATCCACTTCCTATCTTTAAAAGAGATGTAGTGGATCAGCTTTCCCTGGGGTCCAGTGGGGCTGTTGCCATCTCCCTGCTCTGATCACTAGAGCGCTGTTCAGCGTCAGATACTGGACCAAAGGTCTGTTTCGATCCAGGAAGCGCCTCCAGTGGCTGTCTGGGAGACAGCTACTGAAGGCAGACTTAGTGCTGCAATGTAAACATTGCAGTTTCTCGGGATCTGCAATGTTTTTCATTGCAGCACTAAGTGCAAAAGGGACACTGGACTCATCATTTAAATATGTCTGTTTTATTGCAGTAAAAGTTACATGTATGGAGAACATTTATGAGGAATGATTTACAGTGCCAGAGAAAAGGGACAGGGTCTACACATAAAATCCACTTCATTAAGTTGTAGTTGGATTGATGCTTTGAGTTGGTCAATGCCAACCTGTAGTAAAGGAACATACCTACGTTTAAAAACTATTACCAGGTAGATTTCTTGCATCCTCTATTGATACCTCTCAAGTGTGCCTATTCAGAAGGGATAGTCCCTATTTTGGGCCCAAATCCCTTTATCCCTCTTTTCTCTTCTATTTCTGTTTTCTAAGAGCGACTTATTGTTGGTGTGTCTGAGGGTATAACAAAGCGATCATACTCACAGTATTGTCTTTAACCTACAATAAATTTGTTTAGTAATGAGTTTGTGTAAATAAGATTTTAAATTACATTTTAGTTGCATAAACTATTAGCAAGTCATCTAAAATTTTCCAGAAAAGCCACATACCTGGCCATATACCCACTCTTACCCCTAAGTTAAATTATCCCACTTTTATCTATTTGGAATATTGGTAGTTATGCCCATTTAATAAAGTTTTTCCACTCGGCCCCAGGGAGACTGTCTGTGCCTACTGTCTCTCCTCCTCTATGGACAAAGGTTGCACGTTTGTACCCAGTATTACGAATGTATCAATGTCATTCAGAGGTTGCCCAATAGAATTCTTACATATTCAATGTTTTTTTGGTTTTATAGAAGTTCCCAAAACCATTCTCATGCACCATATTGCTTTCTACAACCGATTCTAAATACTTAAAGAATAAACCACCAGGGATCCATAGGAACTAAACGGGATTACATTTGTTAGTCCCTGTTGCAGTACATTTTAGAGTTATTTTACTTTAAATAGGTCAGTATCATGCTTTCTTTTGAAGAGGTGAGTAAAGAAAAGGTTCTTTGATCTTGTATAGAAGGAAGCAGTTATTTATTTAGTTAGTCTCTGTTTGTTTTTTATTAGTTTCATGTTCAGTTAGTAGTTCAGTTAGATAGTCCACTCTACTCTCATTCCTCAAAGATCTCTAAAATAAGAACCGTTAAAGGAACACTTTTTGATTTAAAGGGATACTATAAACAACCAGACCTCCTCATCCCAGTGATGCCTCTACCTCTTGTATATACAGTGATGCAGGGCTGTGGAGTCGGTAAAAAAATCTACAGACTTTGACTAAATGTAGCCCAGGGCTCGAGTCCTGCAGGAACGCATGGGAATGGCGTTCCTGCACTTTTTCCAAAGCAGGAACGCCGTTACCTGTCCTGCAGGACCGGCCCTGCTACCTGCACAGAGAGGCCATCACACGCTGTGTTCCCTCTCCAGCTATAACTCTCACGGCTGTTACCATGGCAACGCTCCGCACAGGCGAGTCTCGCGAGAGTTAGAGCTGGAGAGGGAACACAGCGTGTGATGGCCCCTGTGTGCAGCGGCTGGCTCCCTCCACCGGACCACCAGGTGATCTCCCCCCTCCCTGACAAGGTAAGAAGCAGGGAGGGGGGAATAAAATAAAAATTATACATACACATAAAGTAAGAAAAAATGCTTCCCCCCCCACACACACATCATCCAGCACTCACACACACACCCATCATCCAGCACTCACACACACACCCATCATCCAGCACTCACACACACACCCATCATCCAGCACTCACACAAACACCCATCATCCAGCACTCACACAAACACCCATCATCCAGCACTCACACACACCCATCATCCAGCACACACACACCCATCATCCAGCACTCACACACACACATCATCCAGCACACACACACACACCCATCATCCAGCACACACACACCCATCATCCAACACTCACACACACACATCATCCAGCACTCACACACCCATCATCCAGCACACACATCATCAGCACATACACCATCCAGCACACACATCATCCACAGCACACACACACACATCATCCAGCACACACACACACACATCATCCAGCACACACTCACACATCATCCAGCACACACACACACATCATCCAGCACACACACACACATCATCCAGCACACACACACACATCATCCAGCACACACACACACATCATCCAGCACACACACACCATCCAGCACACACACATATACACATCATCCAGCACACACATCACCCAGCACACACACACACACACACACACACATCATCCAGCACTCACACACACATCATCCAGAACACACACACACACACCATCCAGCACTCACACACACGTCATCCAACACACACACTCATCATCCAGCACTCACACACACGTCATCCAGCGCGCACACACACGTCATCCAGCGCGCACACACACGTCATCCAGCGCGCACACACACATCATCCAGCATGCACACACAGTGCATTCATTATACACACTCTTCACTCACTACAAACACACTACATTCACTATACACTCACTACAAACACACTACATTCACTATACACCCTCTGCATTCACTATACACATTCTGCACTCACTACACACTACATTTACTATACACACTCTGCATTCACTACATACACTGCATTCATTGTACACACTCTGCACTCTCTACAAACACATTAAATTCATTATACACAATTTGCACTTACTACAAACACTACATTCATTATACACACTCTGCACTCACTACAAAAACACTACATTCACTATACACACTGCATTCACTATACACACTGCACTCACTACAAACACACATTTATTATACACACTGCACTCACTACAAATACACTACATTCATTATACACACTCTGCACTCACTAAAAACACACTGCATTCATTATACACACTCTGCACTCACTAAAATACACTACAATTATTATTCACACTGCACTCACTACAAACACACTACATTTATTATTCATACTCTGCATTCACTACAAACACACTACATTCATTATACACACCCTGCACTGCACTATATGCATAGGAGTGTAATTTTTTTTTTAATTTTTTTTAAGGGGGAGGTGGGAATCTTGGGTGAGTTCCCACACTTTTTTCCCCAGGACTTGACCCCTGATGTAGCCTATAAGTCGACCTATAAATACTACAGCCATTCTATAGGTTCAGGCTTATATTCACCAGATAAGGCAACCCCCAAAATCATGTGCTATTTCTACACCTAGCTAGGCCTGTAGACTCCTATTACATTTTGAAATACGTCAACAGACAGTCCTATTTCACATACATTTAAAATTTTAGTTTTATTTACTGTATCCTGTTGTAGAACAGGTTATTTTATTATACAATTACTAAGATGGTCAGAGTTTAGATGTAGACAAAGCATTAGCGTTTAGTTTACTTTTTTTGCCGATAGCACATATGTGCCCAATGTTATGCCTTTCTCTAGCCATTCAGCTGTGTTTACATATGAATTAGACAATACCGTAGGAGGTAATGTCATCTGTTAGTTGAAATTTGTGTGAAAAGAGTAAGTAATGGCTCCTAAGCATACTCAATTGAGTGACAATAGTGATGGTAAGCACTCCAGAAATTCTGTTTCTTAATAAAAAGAAGTTGGAAGTGATTAAGAGGTATAACAAAGGCTGAAAGCATTGCGTGTGTCAATAATGCATTAGGCCAAAGCCTTATTTTCATCTCTGCCACGTATCAACTACTTTATGTTTAGCATATTAGTAGACCCTTAAATTATGAAAGTTTTTTTTTTTTTGTATAAAATATTAATTTGTATGCTGGCTTATATGGTAAATTATAATATGGCGCGTGTAATATAATTATACACTATGTCATGTTACATAAGTCCGTTATTATTTACTCTTCTGATTATTTAGCCATAATATTTGATTTAATAAAGATAATGAAACACGTTTGTTGCGCTGCATTCAGCATTAAAGGATCACTATAGTGTCAGGAAAACTAAGCGGTTTTCCTGACACTATAGTGCCCTGAGGGGTCCCCCTCCCGCTGGGCTGAAGGGGTTGAAACCCCTTCAGCAGCTTACCTTTTTCCAGTGCTGGGCTCCCTCGGCGTTGGTGACCTCTCCTCACCCGCCGACGTTAGCTCCCTCCCCCGCGCGCACATTCAAGCTGTCAATAGGAAAGCATTTTTCAATGCTTTCCTTTGGACGCTCTGCACGATGGAGGCATAATATGCCTCCAGCATCACAGATGCGCCTCTAGTGGCTGTCCGGAAGACAGCCACAAGAGGCTGGCTTAACCCTGCAATGTAAACATAGCAGTTTCTCTGAAACTGCTATGTTTGCATCTGAAGGGTTAAAACCTGAAGGACCTGGCACCCAGACCACTTCATTGAGCTGAAGTGGTCTGGGTGACTTCAGTGTCCCTTTAAATTATCTTTTTAATTGTGTATCATGTTATGTAATTAGAAAAAAGGCTAATGTTATGAGCCACTAAATGTTATAAATAAAAATTTGTTTCCACAATTTTGGCATCTAGAGTATATAATATAAGGAATCAGCGGGGCCAGTGTCTGAGATGGAGGTTTTGTGCTCTGACTTCACAGCCCTGATTTGCAGTGCCCCTGGCATTTTGCTCACACAGTGTCAATTATTGCCATCCGATGGAGATACAACAGTGTCTGCATTGCTGGGCCAAACACATGTTCAGTGGTTGTTACCCTGTCAGGCACTAGATGGTGCTACCGCTTTCAGAGCTTAGTTTGACTGGGTTCTTGATGTTCGATGGCCTCACACATTGCTTGTGGACATCACATGTGCAATCAATGCTTCACATAGAATAGCATTGGATTCACTCCTTTTCCATGTGAAGCATTTGATTTTCACAGTGCAGAGATTGTGTGTGTGTGTATTGATTAAGTGAGGCAATATGTAATGTTCCTGTAATACTACTACATTACCACTAAATTCTCTTTAAAAAGCATGATTAACAAACCCGTGAAATGCACATGTTTTTATTAATTGAAATAAATCCTTGAATAACAAAATTAGTGTTATTCATTTTTTTATGAATGGAATTGCCAGGTCATGAGTGCATGTATTCAGGGCTCCCAATAGCCCTTATTTTGGCTTGACAGTTTGAATTTTGTGGTCCTATCACGATTTACACTAAACATGATAAATGCAGCACTTTTGTTTTTGCCCCCATTTTTCATGAGCTGAAATCTGTTGATTTGGTTAAATCCAAGCACACTGTAAAGTGCTATGCAAAAATGGGTTAACAATATATATCTTTTTCTTTTTTTAGATTCTTCACAATATCTCCATGAGCTACTCGAAGGGAGTATAATCCACCTGCCTGCCGTAGAAATACCTAAACGGGTAATTAAACTAAGAAGTTATTAAATACAAAATGCTGATTTACAAAGGGAGTACATGGTGACTTAAGAAAGTCTGTCTGCTTTATTAAATAGCAGGCATTCTTTTTTTACAGAACATTGTGACTTTAGTCCATTCCTCAGTATCATTAAATACACACCCCATGCTGTTTCTGTTTGGTGACTGCCCTTGACTGGTATCACAGTGAGTGATTTTCATTTTCTCTATGCCTGACATTAACAGTCGCCATATCCATTTCATATGAAATAAAGTGACTTTCTTCCATTAAAAAATGGGCCTGCCTTTCCTGCGGAATAGAGCATTCCCGCCGGGTATGGCAGCACGGAACTTCCGTAATCTAGAAAGGATAGGCTTACAGCGCATCTATCAGCTAGTGCAGGATACAGGGGTGGTGGCCTTTGACACACTACAGCAACACGGACATCTCACAGCCGCCGATTTTTTTAGGTACCTCCAGGTAAAAGACTTTGTGACACTGCCCTGGGTCAGAACAGCGGCCAAACAAACCATGACCTTTTTCGAAATCATCTGCCTCCAGGATCATATCCCGGCGGGTCTAATAACTCGGCTTTACGCCCACCTCTGCTCGGAACCTAATGCAGGGGGAGACCTAGTTTACACAGAGCAATGGGAGAGAGACCTGGGGGAACAATTAGAAGGCATTGAATGGCAGGAGATATGGGAAGCCAATCACACGTCCTCAGTTTGCGTAACAATACAAGAGCAAGCGGTAAAAACTATGCTCCGATGGTATACCACTCCAGTAAGATTACACCAAATGAGAAAGAACCCAAATGACACATGCTGGAGAGGATGTGGCATGAAAGGGACGTATATCCACATGTGGTGGGAATGCCCAGTAATAGTGAGATTCTGGAAACGAATAAGTGAGCTACTAACCCAGGTCCTGTCCAGAGCCCCCCCCCTAGATCCGTGGCTGTTCCTACTAAGTAGAACGATTGATGGGTGGACCAGACGAGAACAAAAACTCATTCATAAAATAACCCTAGCAGCTAGGAGAGCAGTAGCAGCAGATTGGCTTAAACCAACAACCCCGGCGGTAGCAGGGGTCATAACTAGAATAAGAGAGGTACGCATAATGGACGACCTGACGGCAAGAGTTAGGGGAACAGAAAAACAGTTCCAAAAAATATGGGCACCCTGGGATGACAGCCCCCTAGCATAGAGAGGCCCAACACGCCCTCCCATCAATAGCAAGTCGTACACTAGAAAGAATCGCTGATGCCTCTAACCCCCCCCCCCCTCATTCACCTCTAATACCCCACTTTCTGTCTTTCTCTTTCTTTCCCTCACTATACTCAATACACAAAGCTAAGTAGAGCAAATGCAACTCACAGGGTGGGGGAGAGCGGGGACGGTGCGCGCGTAGAGCTGTGGTGAAGAGAAAAACAGTCAACGCGCTACTCAACGCAGGCTAAGACCACCTGTATGAATTGATAATCTCCCCATACAATACAGGCCCCAATATTTACGAACTACAGAGAACACGCAACACATACAGATTACGCACGGCTAACAGGCGTAGTGTAAACTAAAATAAATAACAATGAAGGCATGCCTGAGCATGAAAAATGTTTTAGTTGCTGACATACAATGCCTGTACTCGGAAAAAAGATGTAGCGACTTGGTTTTGTGTATATAAAATGTGCACTGTTCATTATTATGCCACATATCTGTTACAGCATGTATCCATTATGTTTGCACCAGCTGTCGTGGCAGTGCAAAAATGATTGTTAAATATATGCACAAATAAAATAAAGAATTTAAAAAAAAAAAAATGGGCCTGTTATTGTAACAATAATTAGTGAAAGCTAAATTGCTGCTAACTTGTTTTGCTGATGTTTTAATGTTTCACCATTTTCTTTGGTATTTTAAAAGGTAGGTTTTTGCCTTCAGTGAAAACACTCTGTGCTCTTGGTATTTCTGCATTTTTTTTATTTTTTATTAAATATTATGAATACTTAGAATTTTAGCCACTGGTCAGGTGCATGATGGAAATATGTCCTCTGCCCGTGTTGTCTGAAGACTAGGAGTCATTCAGACTTGATTGTCTTGGTGGTGTTTTGTCTGGGAAGGAGACATTGCTTGCTTTTGTAATGCTGATCTGTTGTTTGTTTGCTCAGAACCCAGAACTTGTGGCACGCTTGGAAAAGATCAAAGCAAAGTTAGCAAATGAAGATTACAGACGGATCACAAAGAATGTCAGCTGTCAGGTACAGGAACCCCCAATGAATTTCCATATTCACATACCAGAATGACTCCTAGCAGAGGTGAATTAAACACTAAGGGAGGTCTATTCTAGTCTTAATTGGGATAGAGACTTTAAAGAGACACTTCAGGCAACATAACCACTGGTGCTTTTTATAGTGGCTATGGTGCTCACAACCTCTGTACTCTCACCTTTTAAAAAGTATCCTGCTGTCTTCATTAATTCTGAAAGAGTTTCTCACACATTATTTGCCCAAAGTGAAGCTGTAATTTACAATCTGAGCTGGGCAGGGAATAATGTGCATGCTTACAGTACAGTTATTGCTGATGTAGGTAACCAGATTTTCAGGACACATTGTTGTGTAATGGCAAAACCCTGGGATGGAGTCCTGACACTGGACATTTTAGAATCAATAAAGAAAATGTATAGTTTTGAAGGGTGAGCGTGCGCGCACAGGGTCCTCGTGCCCTAACTACTATAATATGCAATCATAATAATGAAGAAAGGAGTATCCCTTTATTTTTAAAAGTTTTTTTTCTTTGGTGTGATAACTATAAATAAGTATTTAGAAAATATATAAATCATGAATGTAGAATTTTTGTGGGACTTAGAATTAAATGTATCCCCAGTGACAAGAGCCTTCCCAGTGACAAGAGCCTTCAAATGTTTCTTCTTTCAAAGTTGAATAATTATAAATTTTGGCAACATTTTAAGCTAAGACTGCAGCTAAAAGACCCTTGCATTTATAGTACACTTTACAGAAATAACACTATTATAGATCTGCCTATGAACTTACAGACTGTGAAATTGTCAGTATCCCTGAAATGTATGTACATAGGTTTTTTGGGGTTTTTTTTTTTTCCTTCTAAAATGTACACATCTTTTAGCTAGCAGGTAGCTTTATGAGTGATATTGAATTATACATGTATTGTTTTTATTTTTCTTTATACATTTCTCACCAAATAAATTAGAAATGCATGTTGTGCTTAAAATGTATATTTGTGTTGTGTATTTTTCTCTGCTAAAACACCATTAATGTTTATTAATTCTAAGTCAATCATCCAGTATGAATAGGAAAATTAAACACTAGCATTACTTTGCGCCACATACCTGTCAGCAGTGCAAAGAGATGATAAAATTCTGAGATTATATCTGCCCTTTCCTTTGACATAGTCTGACACCTTTAAAAAATATCTGAATGCACTCGTTTCAGTTTTCCTAATAAGCATAGTTTTATGTATGTGTTGTAATAGCATGTAAAGAGATCACTTATATTTGCATTATAAGGCTCACAAATAAATATGAGCGGTGGGTGTTTTAAATGGCTTGTTTCACAGCTGGATATTCTGCCTTCAGGAGTTTGGACACTGCTAATGAAACAATAAATATGCTGTCTGATTGTAAGAACTGTAATAAAAAAATACACATACAAAAGAGGGGGTTGGGATGGAAAGAGTAATTGCTATGAGTCTTTTATATGTCCCAACACTAAATATGTACAATATACTGTGTAAATCTATGTAAACTACCGCAAAACAAATTTGACATTGTCACTGTTTAGATGCGCAACACGATGTTGTCAGTTGAGCACTATGTACACTTAATAACTTCATTCAAATCATTGAAACATTTTTTGATATATCTATAATGCAAGACTATTTGTGAACTTGCTATGTTTCAGTGTTTACTGAATCAATCTGTTTGTTACTGTATGTGGTTTTTAAAGGGACTCTCCTGGCCTCAATACAACTTTAATTCATTTGAATAATTTTGCCTCATTAATATTTTTTGCATGCTCAAATCTTTATAGTCTTTTTGCACAAAATAAATGTGTTGCAGAATGCTATACCGTAAGCCTGATTTCATAGCACATCCTCTTGTACCAGAAAAACTCTCTTTATCAAATGTATCCTCACAGTCTCAGCCTCAACAGCACTGAGTAAACTGATTTTAATCCACAACCTGGCTGCATACAGAGAAACTATAAACCGGTTGTGATATGCTTACTGAATGCCTCCCTGGGTGTCCTCCTCCTCCTCCTAATGCAGGTTGTTCAGATCATTCAGTACTGTCAGTGGCTGAGCTGTGTTTTGTGTGTGGTTTTTTTCTGCAGTAAGGCGGCATTGGCTACAGAGGCAGGCTTGTGCTTCAGCATTCTGCAAAAAACATTTATTTATTTTTTAATGCAAAAACTATAAAGGTTTGAGCATGCAAAAATATAGCATATGCAGTATTAGGCCGAAAGATATTAAATGCATTAAAGTAGTATTGGTGCCCGAGTGTCGCGTTAATATTCTTCTTATAGAAATAAACCCCTTCTATCTTTTACAGACAGGAAGAAATGGGACACTGGCTGAATTCAGCAAGCAAGGTGAGATGCAGGTTTTGAAGTACAAAATGTGAAATCTGAAAATAAATACATTTGAAAATCTCCAGCTCAGCTATTTTATGTAGAATTTTCCGTTCTATGGTTTAGTTCTGGCAATTCTTGCATATTTTTTGGATGAGGAATTATTTCAGAACTCTTCAGAGTCTTACGTTACTTTTACCTTATGTGAATGGATTATCATCAAAGTACTAATGTTTCACAACATTCAAAATATTTGCCTGGACGTAATAGGCCTGCTAGCTTAAAGTCTGTGGCTGGGAAAGTATATTTAAAAGGTTATTAAGGCATAAAATTCAGGAATTAATTAGGAAGCAATAATTAACATGGTTTTATGAAACATAGGTCATGTCAAACTAACCTAATTGCATTCTACAAAGAAGTAAGTAGAAGTATAGATCAGGGTGTTGCAGTGGATGTGATCTACTTTGAATTTTGCCAAGGCGTTTGATACAGTTCCTCACAACAGGTTAGTGTTCAAACTAAAAGAAATTGGTCTTGATGAAAATTCTTGTTCTTGGGTAGAACATTGGCTTGAAAATAGAGTGCAGAGAGTTGTCACATGTAATGGCACACTGTCACAGTAATGGCACATTTTCATGCTGGACAAAGTGTTAAGTGGTGTCCCTCAGGGTTCTGTTTTGGGACCCATTCTATTTAACATATTTTTTTTAAATGATCTTGAAACAGGCATTGAAAGCCATGTTTCAGTGTTTGCAGATGACTCAAAACTCTGTAAAGTAATACAATGTGAACAGGATACTGCTTTGCTGCAGATGGATTTAGATAGATTGAGGGACTGGCCACTCAAATGGCAGATAATATTTATAACAAATTATTTAACCAGGAAAGGTACATTCAGATTACTCTGGTTTTCAATTTAATGTAGAAAAATGCACTTTGGGGTAAAGAATGCACAAGCAACCTACACCCTAAATGGTAGTGAATTTGGGATGACAACACACGAGAAGGATTTGGGAATTGTTATGGTCACCAAACTAGGTAACAATATGCAATGTCAATCGGCAGTTGCTAAGGACAGTAAGGTATTATCATGTATAAATAGGGGCATTAATTTTTGGGATAAAAATATAATTTTGCCTATTTATAAATAACTGGTAAGACCACACCTTGAATATGCTGTGCAAATTTGGGCACCTGTTCTAAAGAAGGATGTTATGGCACTAGAAAAGGTACAGAGGAGGGGTAGAAAATTGATTAAGTTAGAAAGGTTAACACATTTAAATCTCTTTAGTCTGGCAAAACGGTGCTTCAAGGGGGATATGATAACATTATACAAATATATTTGGGGCCAATACAAACCATTATCTGGAGATCTATTCATAAACAGGACTATACATAGGGCTCAAGGTCAGGTATTTAGACTGAAAGAAAGGAGATTTAGTCTGACAAAGAAAAGGTTTTTTTTACAGTAAGAACAATAAGGATGTGGAATTCTCTGTCTGAAGAGTTGGTTTTATTAGAGTCTATACAGCTATTTAGCAGCAATTGGATAAATAGTTGCAATAAACATATTATTCAGGGATATCATTTTTAATTAGTGGGGTTATAGCTTCTTGGTCCAAGAAGATACCTGACTGCCATTCTAAGGTCAATAAGTATTTTTTTCCTGGTTTGTTGGAAAGTTACTACAGCAAAAACAAATGTGTGAGAGGCTGAACTTGATGAGCACATGTCTCTTTTCAGCTATATAACTGTACTAACGTGTGGAATTCTAGCCTAATAAAAAGGAGCTAAGAAAGGAAAACTATACTTTTTAGACCAATAGAATGCCTAAAATGGAGTTGACAAACTGGAATCCAGTTGCAGGTACACACATATTCCTAATAATGGTTCTTGCATTCATAAGGTTAGAATGTGGTCCATTTACACATTTAGTGCCTGGAATGTCTTTTAGGCAAATTGTATAATAATGATGGGAAATATGTCTCCGGAATCATATTAGTAGTTATGGGAGAGGTGGGGCTCTTTGTTTGCCTTGCTGTAGATTTTGTATAATGCCACTGACAAGGAGATTACACATTGAGTGCTGCATTGCTAATTAGTATGTTAAAAAGGCCTAGCTAGCAACAAAGAAAAAGGAAACGACTTCTTAGCATTTTCCACAAGTCACTTCAAACCCCTTTTGTTTGTTTTTTAGTGTTTGTTTTTTTGTAACCTAATTAAAAAGATAACTCCCTTCAAGAAAAAAAAATCGTCAAACCAGAAGAGCACTTTTGACATTTCGATTTAGTTTATTTTCTTTTACACAGACACTGTTCCATGCTGTCACATACAATGAAAGCTCCCCATTGATGCTTCTATATAAAATAAAATAAAACACATAAATGGATATTTAACACATTTTCCTTGCAACATATATGCTCAACATAGTTTGGTTTACATCATGGGTCGTCAACCTGGTCCCGTTTCAGGATTCCAGGTGGGCGGTAGGAATTTCAGTGGCTAAATCTTTTTTTTTTTTTTTTGAGGATTTCTTCTTTTTGGGCGGGCGCAAAATTTCAGTGACCGGCAGGAGGGAAGCGCTCCTTCCTGCCAGGCCACATTCTGGACCCCCAGTGTGGCAGTGGTAAGATCAGACGCGGCGAGAGAGTTTTCTGATGCCGCGGGAGCTGGAATATGACATCATATTCCGACTCCTGGCATCAGTAGACAGCCCGCGAGGGAGCAGAGAGGTTAGAGCTCCCTCGCCCCCTCAGATTTGAACTCTGCCGCCCGCTGACGTGAAGCCCCACTGGACCCCAAGGACACATCCACACCAGCTCTCCAGGTAAGGAGGCTGGGTGGACATTTAATATTAATAATTTGTGTGTATGTAAGTGTGTGTGTGTGTGTGTGTGTGAGAGCAGAGTACTTGTAGAATAGAAGAAAGAAGGAGCAAAGTATTTGTAAAATGGAGAAAGAAGGCACAGAGTACTTGTAGAATAGGAGAAAGAAAGAGTAGCGTACTTGATAAAAAGGTAAAGGAAAGAATTGTTGTTGGCTAATAATAGTAAGTGGGCTGCCTAGCTCAGCCTTCCTACTGGGCATTGCTATAAGGAAGGTTAAAAAATAGAAAAAAGGAAGAAAAAAAAGGTGTGGAGGGGAATTGAGGAGGCAGAGGAGGGGAGCTGACGCACAGATGAGAAATCATAATATGAACAAACAGAGAAATCGTCTGAATATCACTGAAAGAGGAGACCTTTGTTTGTTCCTTATGAAAGTCGAACCAGATATAAAATATTTACTCTCGCAACCTCAAGGATCTCATTAATCACTAGTAAAGGTAATTTCAATTTACTTTGTTTTCTCATTAAACTTTATAAAGTTAAAAACATTATAAACATGCATAAAGTAGAAATAAAAAGATAAATGTACGTACATTTATTTTTTTTTAAAACACCCTCCTTTCTAAAAAATATTCTGCACTTGCGCGAAAACTGGTGGGCGGTAAGGACATTTTTCCATCAAGAAAGATGCATTAGTGGGCGGTAGGTAGACAAAGGTTGACTACCACTGGTTTACATAGTTAATTATTGATTCAGAAAGCATGATTTATCCTTTTTTCTCATAATGTGAATACTCTGATAAACATCTATTTAATAACAGAGAAGTCTGTCTCCCTTGATTTGATTACATGTCCAAGCAGCCTGAGGGAACCTATTGCCACCATGTGACCTCATTGCACATAGGGCTGAGATATTTTTTAAATTTTACGTACTCTAGAGTTACCATACTTTTCTCTAACTTCTTGCCTGACACACTTTTCTATCTCCCTTATCCTGGACTTGTAGAGGGCTTCAACACGCGATATATAAAATGTATACATAACGCCAAACAATACTTAATCTCAGCTCCAATAGTTATATAAAATATGAACATATTAGTGAAATTTTTTAATTCTGTAAATTTACAGAAATGTGTTTTCAAACTGTATTCTACACACAACGTCATTTTACTCTAAATTCCCTAGCTGTAAAAAGTACTCTGTACTGAAGGAGTTAACATCTTTGCTGCTCTTCTCTTTGTGACACATTACAGTATAGGTCCAACTAGTACACTGAAAAGGGGGGTGAACATTAAAGTGCTTTTAATCCTGTTAACCTGTAAGGTAATTAAACCTTGATGAAAGAAAGGTTTGCTCTTGACCAAGTGTTTTTTACCCAGCCCTATGATAGCAAGAACAATACAACCACAAAGACTTTAGGCCATTTAATAGGGTCTAAGTAATTATGGACCAAAAGATCTGTTTCTGCTTTATGCAAAATTATGCTTTTTAAAAAAAAAAAAAATTTTATTTATTGATATATCCTATGACGCTTTGTCTGACTTTACATTGGCAGAGCATCATGAGTCTCTCTTTTTGTGTGACATGGCCTACAACAATAATACTGAAAATCTTCTGTACACTGTTACACTCTGACCAACTGATTGAAAGGGTAGCTCTCTTAAAATATATTTTTCCTCCAATGTATTCAGTTTATCCCCTTAAAAAAAAAAAATAAGTTTCATTAGTTGGTGATAGATTCCCCTCTCTACCAAACTGTTTCATCTTTATATTTTGTCACAGAATCTGTGACAGAATGTTTTTTTATTCTTTATTTGAAGAAACACATGAAGGCAAGTCAACACATGGTAATACATTCACACCTCGTGATCATACATCTGTGCTTTTACATATCTTGCCTGCAATGGTAGAGGTTTTTCAAGGTGTGTAATAACTGGGTGGATTCCACAAACTGGGTAGAAAAGAAAAAAGGAAAAAAAGGGGCAAGGAGGAGATTTTCCCCTCCCTCTATAAACACTGAGATTATTTATTAGGATTAACCAACATGCAACAGAATCAGTTTTTTGACTGTGCGTTTGACCAATCCAGTGTGTCTCACTGAGAAGCCTTGGAGTGGCAACACGCAGGGAAGATGGGTAGCACATGGCAGAGGAAGAAATAATGCTCTGTGCACATCAGATCCTATAGTCTTATTGTCAGATACTCCCAGCACAGAGTTTACACGTATTGCAAGTTATGGGGGAAATTTATCAGTGGTCTAACAGTGATTGTTAAATTACATAATTAGTATTGCCATATTTTTTAAAGTGTTCTAATAAAGTGGCGGTTTTCTTCATAGTAAATTCCGCCAGTTTTCCAGTTTGTATCAGAAGACCGCCAGATTTAGAGTGGTGAAAACAAGACAGAAAGGGAAACAGAACGATGTTTTGTCAGAAATAGTTGAGGATAAATCTTTAAATCAATGGGAAATTGTGTATTTAAAAATGAAAGTTAGGGCACAAAAGAAGTAACAGATGAAAATGACTGACAGTTTTAGTAAATTGTGCTGAAAATTAGACTTAAAAGTGATAGTGTCGCTTTAATAAATCTTCCTTTATGATTTAAGACGTTGTACATACTAATGCCATAAAATGTAAAACTGATCTAAGATTGATTGTGGGAGATGGAGCTATACACAAAAATAGACCGTTTTCTGCTAAATCAGAAAACTTTAAAATGTAATACTGTAGGCACAGATAGGCTTATTGCACCATAATCACTTCAGTAAGTTATGCTGCTTGAGTGACCATTTGAAGATCAGAAAAGCCTAAAGAAATATCAGCAATATAAAATCATTCTGTAATAAATATTATATAAGGCAGTGTGGTAAGTGTTTTCTTCGTCTTGTGTGATGTAATAAATCAAAATACATCACTTTGCTCTTACTTTTTATTATGTTCAGACTGTAATGTTTATTTGAAATGTCTAATGAATTTGTGGTTGCACTGTTTGTGTCTATCTTACAACTAATGTTTGATAAACTGGAAAAAAAATGAAATGAGCAAATATAAATGTAAACAAAAAATCTAAGCAATTAAAAATCAATATCACCATTGTAATCCTACCCCCTTAGTGCAGGACAGTATTGTGCCTTTCAAAAATAACAAAAGCCCTGAGTGTAGCTAATTTGTGCCATTATGTCCTTTAATAGCAAATTACATGTTAAATCACCCTGATTGAGAGTTGTCCACAATGGGTTTAGTGTTGGATATCCCAGTGGTTCCCAACCTCTTAGACCAAGGCACACTTCTAAACATCACATTTTGTTGTGACTTTACCTTAGCAGTATTCATGCTAATTACTCGGTAAATTGATCTGCAAATTCTAACTGCTTGTCAGATGGGAATCCCAATTTTAATGCTGATACTCATTAAATAAACCGTGCTTAAACACTGCATTCAGCCTATTACAGCTAAGACGTCAATGTGTTTGTGGCACACTTTGAGATTGCTTGAGACACACCAGTTGAAAATCACTGAGGTTATTCCATGGTGAAAGTAAGCAACGTTTGTAATATCAGAAATTGTATCCACCTAGTTTGTTTTCACTTGCTTCTTTAATTATTCTACCTTTTTAATTTTGTCTCTTCAGTTCGACCTGTGAAGACAATGGTGATAACAGTGTTCAACTTCTTCATCACAATTGCTGCTGCTTTTGCTTGCACCTATATTGGCAGCCAGTATTTGTTCACAGACACTGCTGCGGTAAGTGGGGCCTGGAAACACTGAACCGTAATGTTGACTATTTTAGGGCTTTGTTACCAGTCTTCTGTATCAATAGGCAATTCTATCTGTGTAAAGACGACATGCCAAAAAGCAAGCAATATATACCTCTTATTTCACAGGATCATAGCTATTAATTCACAATGTGTAACGCGCTTTGCATGCCCTTTTACAACATGACATTGTCTTGTCACAAAAAGACATATTATGGAGTGAGTATTTACAGCTTTGCCTATGGACAGAAGATAATATAGGATGCAAGGAGCATGTCAACACAGTACATAAAGACAAAATAATTGAAACCATCCCTGGGTATCCAGATCACAGCAGAAACACTTCATTTTGTGATCTGCTTGCATATGTTTTCTTTTTCTGATTTAACTTTTTTTTGTCTTGGGTATTCTCTTTCTTGGGGAAACAACTCAGGACAGTGTTTCATAGTAGGAACTGTTCACAGTATTTAGGACAACAGGGTGGTAAGTTTACCTGGTTTGTGAATAAAGTTGCCATGCTGTGCTGATGTTATTCTTATGTAATGGCATTATAAGGAACAGTAGTATTTGGAACTTTATAGTGGGAACTGTACCTCTGCAGATCTATGTGTTACATTAGAATTCCCTGCATGCATAAAATACGGTGAATTGTTTGTCATTATACATTAGTGACTATGAGCAACTTTTAGACAGAACATAATCACAGACTGCACTCACGAATGTGAGTATACATAAGTAAGTAAATATACATAAGACTGTGATAATCGGAGAGCAAACTATGTCCTCGTGTTTCTACTGGTTAAATAAGAGACCATGTAAATCTCTGCTTTTATTCTCTTTATATTTGTTGGGGGGGAAAATTGATTAAGTATTTTAAACTGAATACAATGTGATGACTACCGTCTTATCAAGCACTTCTGCAGGTTTAATGTAACTCTTAAAGGAACCTCTAAAACAATATTTACGTTGTAAATTGTACTCTGTGAAAAATTTTTACTATAACTAAGTTTCTAATTTTTCACTCTCTTTCCCAGCGGGTTCTCAGCTCTGTAATTGTGGCATCCTTGGTGGGCTTGGCAGAACTGTATGTTCTGGTCCGAACAATGGAAGGACAACTTGGAGAACTTTAGCCAATGGCATACGACACCACTAGAAGCAAACCTGGTCTGTTCTGAGCTGGACTCGAAGAAATATCTTCAGGATATGGAAATGATGTTTGTTTATTGAAAAGTTAAAGTAACAAGAATACATTTCTCCTATAACTTTCCTACATTCCAGCATTGCGTACACCATATCTACTACTTATATTAATATATTTTATTGGGTAAAAAATATTTAATCTGTTGGTTTCCATTACTTTGGAATTTCTTTGAGGATTTTTTTCATTTCATACACATACTTCGACTTCGTTACCATTCCCACCACGATATAGCAAAGAAGTCCTCTCTCTGTAGCCATCCACTTACCCAATCCTACTGGGCAAACTAACAGTCCCCTTTATCGGAGCGCAGGGGTTTGACATTAGGTGAGAGGAATGCTAGATGGAATAAGGTGTGGACTCCACAGGGTTCCCAATAGTAAAGTTGTTAGTGCAGTGAGTAACTTCTGAGGAATCCTTTCTAAACCTATCTGCTGCTGTAGGCTCCTGTTGCCAAGTTTAGAGAGCAGAGCTTTCATAACAAATTCTTTTCTACCTTAGAAATACATTCGTTTTGTTGCCATTGCTGGTTTTCTTTAACTTGCTCCAGCCTTCAGAAATATGAGAATTTGAGAAATCAAAGCAATAAAAATTGTTGAAACTAGTAAGTCTCTTCTACCTTACAAATTAATTCACTATAAGGTTTCACGCAATTATTTGTGCAGAAGAATCAAGGTTTTATCTGTGAATTCATATGAGGATCTTTGACTTTTACCCTAATCTGTGCAGTAGATGAGTGTTCTAAGACGTAATGATGTACAATTCTACTTATTGATACATAAGCAGTATCTCCAGCCATGCTTCCCTGCAGAATAGTGTTACAGCAACTAAACTGGGCAGGAATTTAAACCCATTTTAGTAATGATCATTTTCACTTTCTTGTGCATAATTTGCTCGTTGCTGAATTTTCCATATTAATGATTGTTCCTTGTCTTTTACACTTCAAAGTGGTTTATTTAAACTTTTGTTTGATTCGTTGTATTGTTTTGCTTTTGCAGATTTACTTTATTTAAAGTTTTCAAAAACTGTAATACTTATTTTAAAATTTACCTGAATAAATTATTTATGAACTTCATAAATTAACAGTGTTTATGTGCTTTATAGATATCTTTAGTTAGTTCAACCAACATGAAGCTTTCTGGCTATTTTTCTTTTTACATTTTTTGTTTTTGTTTTGTTAAACTCATATATGTCATAGATGTAATTTTGATAAAACTTATTTTGGATTATTAAATTTAATTTACAGCAGTGATAAAGGTCTGAAAGTGTGTACTCAGTTATATATATATATATATATATATATATATATATATATATATATTAAATATATCCATTTCACTGAACTGGATAGGCACATTGGAAATATTTACACACTATTATTTATAATGCACAAACAAATTCCATAGCGCTGTACAATAGGTGGACTAAAAAACATGTATTTGCAACAAGACGTGTTAGACTCACAGGAACAGAAGGTGTTAAGAGCCCTGCACAAACAAGCTTGCATTCTATTCTAGAGGGGGTGGGGTAAAGCGACACAAGAGGTTAGGGTAGGATGTCATGTATGTAAAAAAAAGTAGGTTAGTAGAAGAATGGTTTACAGTAAAGGGTTAGTTTATTGCATGACACAGTTACAGGAGAGAAAGCAGGGTGGGTTACCAAGGTGTGTGAGGGAAAGCCTATTAACAGTTTAATTGTTATGCTTTTCTAACGATGTGAATGAAGTGAGATCTTTTGAAGGAACTGAGACTGGTGTGTGTGTATATGCATTGAAAATGACAGTTCCGCGTAGTATGTTCTCCAGCAGGGCTCTAAGTGCTCCTGTGCCTTCCATACAGCACTGCTAATTTTGTTATTTTTTTTAAATAATGCATTATCTATGTAATACAAAAAAAATTAGGAATTTAAACTTTTACTTGTGGTTTCCTGTGAACAATAAAAGATATATTCTATTTAAATATGGTTATCAATGGGAGCCACCAGCTACCAAATCAGCTTTCGTAAAGAACTGTTCTCCCATAGGAATTATGGGGAGATTTTTGCACAAATAAATTCCAGCCACAAGTAAATGCACTACGTCAATTGTATGTTTGACATCTGCAGAATTTCTATTATTTGTTTTTTTGGGAGAGAGCAGAGTTGTTGAAATAACTTCTTTTTTTTTTTTTTTTTTATTATGGAGGATCTTACGGAAGACTGGAGATTTATTGGGCAAAGTAGAACCCCGTGTGTTCTTTGAATATAATATATTTTTCACTTTACTATCTTGGAAAAAACACTAGACACTCTTTCGTTTGTTGCATTATCATTGCTGATTCCTCACCTTGTGAAAATGTGATGTACTTACTGCTTTTCATATCCTGACCCTGATTCAGTGTAGATTACTGGAGTTTGACATTGCTGATTAATGTTCTGATATCTGCTAAGCCCCTTCTAAAAACACTTAATATTTATTTTTTATTTATTTTTTTTAGATATACAAATCTAACCTGTGCCTGTAAAGTTGTGTCTGGATTAAGTAATGTAAATAAATCCAGCGCCCCATCTCCCTGGCAATCATCTTTAAATAAGGGGCAGATTAAAGCAATGTTCATGAAGATTAGTTGGTATTATGGATGATTGTGATGGTCAATGACATCCCCGGATTGCTCTGTGTGGATCATGGCATGTTTATTGCAAACTTCTTCAAAAGCAAACTGTATATAATGCTAGCAATCCATTGAAAATTGAAAAAGCAGATAATCTTGCTTTATAGCCATTTTAATACACAAAATACCAAGCTCTGTAAATATTCCCTGCAATGAAAAATAATGTTGGATATTTTGATTATGAATATATAGGTTATGGGATTGGTTACATTTAAACAGTAACAACACATGGTGACATATATGCCCTTTATATCATTTTTGTATGGTGACATATATGCCTGTAAATAATGATTTAGTGCTTTCAACCAATAGGCCTTATATAGTTGTATGTTTGTTAAATGAGAACAGTCACTTACTTGGACTTATCATAACCTTTTCGCTATCTGAACATTGTAAATATTTTATGCAAAAAGAAATTGAAATTTATTTATTTTTAATTTATATTTCTAAGGCTTTGTCAGACCGAGCTTGGCATGGTATGCAAATGAGTTAACACTTGCACCTGCACTGAAGTAAATGCCAAGATTTCTCCACTACATTAGAGTGCATGGGTCTGAGTTATGAAGGGATTTCTATCTTGTAGCTACATGGTAGTACAGTGGAGTTTTTTTGTTTTGTTTAGTTTTTTTACTTACCTCTGCTGCTCTGACCCCTACCAATGCAGAAATAGCATTTATAGGGTTAAATGAACAAGAAACTCACCCAAGCACTCTCGCTAAACCAAGATGCACCAAGATAAACTTTAAAGGTTAGTATTGTTTCGGTTTTATTAGTGCATTATCTTTATAATGTCTTTAAAAAAAAATACATAGCTTTTCTTTAACTTTACTGAAAAGACACTGTCCCAAATAAATGCTGGAAAGATTTAAAGGGGCCATCTACACATCATAAGCACAACATTGCATTGGCAATATGACAAACGTGGGCAAAGCTGCAGGTGCCTTGGGTAACCCCTGATCTCCGTCAAAGCACTAAAAATCATTTAAACTAGAATGTTATGGTGCCTGCAGCCTACTAGCACCATAATCATAGGTTCTGGATCCGCTCCGTTATTTGGGCACAAAGATAGCACTAATAAGCTATTTGAGCACAAAGATGGCACTGATTAGTTATTTTGGGACATAGCCTGCTCTGGGTAGCTGTATGTGGACAGAGATGACACTAATAAGCTTTTTGGTGGCAAAGCTAGCATTGCAGGAAGTGGGTGACATGCTACCAAGTGATGTTGGGGGGGCCAAAGAGTAAGAGTGGTTTCCATAGGAAATGGGTATGGTTAATCGTAGTATGTTATGCTTCTGAAGGGGAGGTGTTAGCAATATAGCCACATCCACCTATGGGATGCCAAAAATATTATTGCACCCAAGCGTCAGTGACCCTAAGATCAGTCCTGGCCCCTGCCAACAATGTATGAGAAGAAGAAGAGGCCCTGATAATTTTCACATAAGCCCTATAGCTTGCTTCAGTGGAAGATACTGTCCAGTATTCATGACGTTAAAGAGAAATTGTCACTTTACAAAGCATTCAGTAAACGCTCAGCTTGACATTTCCTTCCGTTGAAAACAAACGCTTTTCTTTTCTAACATGTGGAATTGTTTTTATCCACAACTTGCCCGATGCTAATACACACAGCCAATTATGATAATAGGCATTTGTGACCTTGATGAGATTACCAAAACACAATGCGCATAGCAACCTAACGTGTGTTCAGGCTTGCAAGTGATGCAAAATATTAAAAAAAGGTAAACAAGGACCCTAAGATCTTCTCTGCCCTCAGAATTGATGTGCATCAACATTAACACTTACCAAAATGTTCAAAAATAAGTCCTGCCCTCAAACTCCCATTACTCCTGGGCGGCAGCAATGGCTATAGAGCACATCAGCCGCATTCCATACAATAACAACTGAAAGAAAAGAGTTACTTGCACAATATCCCTAATCCCTATGCACAGTTTAATAACTGGAGAATTTTAATATCATTCCAAAGCTCACCTGCCATATCAACGCAAACATCCCAGGTGAGGTTTTTAGTCACAAAAGTGATTATTATTTTCAAATATAACTTTAACTATTTGTTATATATTTGGGGCTTTATTTTTCTTTTTGTTTTAAATGTAATTTTCACTTATTCAAAAAAATAGAACTATTTCCACAGACAAATATGACAAGCTGTCAAATACACAATTATATAGCAGCAACCAACCTCCAAAATATATAAGAACTCCTCTGATATTCAAGGGGATTTAATTACTCCATATAGCCCTGCGAAAGCTTTGTTAGCCAAGTTTTGGGGGAACACCACCTTAAACTCCTAGGAAGAGGCATTTCACCTGGAAAAAAAACCTCTGTATTTCAGAAGTTAATCAGACTTTCTTTTGCTAAATAATTATAAATATAAATGCTACATACAGACTGATATTTTTTTCCATTTTTTTATTTGTTTTTATTTTTTTCATTTTTATTTTGTTTTTGTATTTTGTATTATTTTTGCATTTTGTACCTTTTTTTTTTTTAACACACGGGTAAATGATAGTCAGAAAGAGTTATGCCTTTTTCTCTAGACAAGCAAACTGTGTTAGCATAATGGATAAATTTATGCAATACCACTTAAGGTTCAGCAGGACGCAGGTAGAAAGAGGTATTTCTTTTAGCGGTTTAGTTCTTATACCTGTTACTCAACAGCCGTCGTCTCTTAACTCTTGCTTTCTCGTGGGTGGGGAATTGTTGGAACTATATACATATACAAAACACAGAATCTCAAGCTGTAATCCACCAAGTGTTTGAAACAGATGATTAGGCCATCATTGCGTAGGCAATGATCGCTGAATTGTAAATTAAGCTGGATGTCGAACCCAAAGAGGTTTGATACCCACTTTCATTTACTTGAGGATATCTTGCCAAGTATGGCATCTGAGGTGCTTCAAATTGCTCCATCATCTCTGCTTTGTTCTGCAAAGTTGTACAACCATAATCTGGGGTTTGGTTGTTGGAGGGAGGGTACTGCCATTGGGAGCTCTCTGGCTCATAGGCATATTGAGGACTCTCTCCTAAGAGCTCTTTTGGTTCGGATGCCTCAATGACTTGCTTGTATGGCATCAACTGTACGTTCCCACCTTCGTGGCCATACATTGAGGAATGATTGGGCGGGAACTGCATTGAAACCAATGGTTCCCTTTGGCTGTAATGCCTTGTGTTCATTAGGTAATGTCCGTTGTTATTAAGAATTGTTTCCTTCTTCCTAGATTTGTTTTTTCTGGCTCTCCTGTTCTGGAACCAAATCTGCCAAATAAACGACAAGAAACAGAAATTCAGTCACAAGTGCAAAAACATTCTAATACCAATTGTGTAATTGAATTAATTAAGGTAGACATACATTTTTGCCATCTCCCTGTCTACCTCAACATCACAGCTTGTGCTGCGGCTCTTTAAATTATCCAGTTCAGTATTTTATTCAGTACAACTATTTGTTTAGTGAATAACAAACCCTAAGATATAGGA